AAAAAAAAAAAAAAAAAAGATATGCTCACTGGATTTCCCTTTCTGACTATGATCTCTCTTCCATTAAACTGGGAACTACCTCAGAAGCTACCTTTTTCCGATGGACCTGTGTCCATAATGCTACTATAGTGTTCTCCACACATGGAGGATGGTAATGAAGAGGATGCCTGGGGCAAAGAAAGAAGAAACACGAAAAAAGGGTCTTTCTTTTGAGTCAGGTAGAAGATACAACTTGGGAAACAGATATGGAAAACAATGGGTGCCAAAGATAAAGGAATAGAAGCCATTCAAGGAGTGATGAAAATGGAAGAAAACTGAATAATAAGAAAAGAATAGATTAAAGTGAGGGTAGGTGAGGGAGCATTGAGAGGATATAGAGAAGACTTGTGGAGTAGGAGGAGGTAGAAAAAGCAGCTCTCACCCTGGAAGCTTTCTTAGCAGCTCTGATCCTGGAAGCCTTCTCAGCAGGTGGCATCTTACAATTCAGGCCTAGACAGAAAGTAAACACAAAGGTGGCTGAGTTACAAGCAGTTGGTTGCTCAGGGTTTATCATGAAGCCCATGTACCATCTTGGGTTCCTATCTGCCTTCACTTACCTTTCTGATGCCTCCTGGGGCTCACTAGGGATCCCCTTCCACCTGACTGGCTCCCAGAAGGTATGGGGGCTGAGACAGGTTCCAGAAAGTCCCTCACCCCCACCCCAGGCTCTGGTGTTGGGCTGGAGGCCTGCCCTTTCTGGTCCTGGCTCCCTCGCTCTGGCTCCCCTCTCTGTGTGCCTCTCTCCAGGATCACTTTGGGCACCTTCCCTTCTAACTCAGCTGGCTCACACACTCTGTCTGCTACTGGTCTTTCTACTTCTCTCTCAACTATTTTGCTTGGAAGGGTCTGCTTCTCTACTTCTTTCTCCTGTATTTCCTCAGATGTCTCAATTTCTATCTTCAAACTCTCCCTATCTCTTTTAGGACTTGCACTTTCCGCCTTTTTGCCAGATTCTTGTCTCTGAGTGTCTCTAGCTAACAACTGTTTTTGTTCTCTGTCCTGTATCCCCCTGGTTAATTCTTCCTCTCCTGTCACATCTGTCTGTCTTTCTGGCAGCAGTTTCTCAGTTTCCCTTTCCAATGGCGCTCTCTCAGGGGCCATCCTCTCTGTTGTTTCTTTTGGTATACCCATATCTTTATCCATAGTCTGCATCTCTCTGCCTTCAATCCCCATTGGCTCTGTGTGGACTGGGCTCTCTGGATGTTGGTCTCCTGGTATTGCCCTAGGTGAAGACAGGCAAGATCCACAGGCCTCAAAGTGGGTGTCAAAAGGCTGGGTCTCAGAGTCCTTGGACTCTCTCAGACAGAATGGCTGTGTAGCCAGGACCTCCCATGGTTCATCTAGGCTACCTGGAAGTAAAGAGAGAGAGAAAAAGAAAGAGAGAAGGAGGAGGAGAGGGGGAGGGAAAGAGAGGTACAGGTTGAAATAATAAATACATTGAGAAATGATTAAGATAAACTCATGAATGATAAATCTAAACAGGTTATTAAAGCAAAGCTGGGAATAAGAGTGGTAGTTATAACTTATTATTATTATTTTTTGAGATGGAGTCTCACTCTGTTGCCCAGGCTGGAGTGCAGTGGTGCAATCTCGGCTCACTGCAACCTCTGCCGCCCAGGTTCAGGCAATTCTCCTGCCTCAGCCTCCCGAGTAGCTGGGACTACAGGTGCATGCCACCATGCCCGGCTAGTTTTTTGTATTTTCTTTTTTTTTTTTTTAAAGACGGGGTTTTACCATGTTGGTCAGGCTGGTCTTGAACTCCCAACCTCAGGTGATCCGCCCGCCTTGGCCTCCAAAGTGCTTGGATTACAGGCGTGAGCCACCACACCCGGCCTTGTATTTTCAGTAGAGACACGGTTTCACTGTGTTAGCCAGGACGGTCGTGATCTTCTGACCTTGTGATCCGCCTGCCTCGGCTTCCCAAAGTGCTGAGATTACAGGTGTGAGCCACTGCGCCTGGCTGTTTCTCTCAAAAAGGTCATAGCCTTGGGTGGGTATGCTAGCTTAGATCTGTAATCCCAGCACTTTGGGAGACAAAGACTCGAGGACTGCTTGAGGCCATGATTTCAAGACTAGCCTGGACAACTTGTAAAAACCTTATTTCTACAAAAAATACCAAAAAAATTAGCTAGGTGTGGTGGCGGGTACCTGTAGTCCTGTAGTATCAGCTACCTGGGACATAGGAGGACCACTTGAACCCTGGAGGTCAAGACTGTAGTGAGCTGTGATCATACCACTGCCCTCCAGCCGGAGTGACAGAGAGACTTTGTCTCAAAA